AGACGCGTCACGCACTCCTTGACCCATACTACAGGCCACCGGGAGATCCGTACTATATCCCATTCCGTGCTCAGTGTTCAAGGTCCCTGCTCTTCGTTTGTAAAGCAGATATATCCCCAGTACGATGAGACCGACACCGAATATAGCACCAAGCGCTGCTCCTGCTACAGCGCCAGAGCTCAATCCATTTCCAGGAGATGGAAGAGAAGGCGTTGATGTTGATGATTGCGTTTCAGTGGCAGTGGATGAGGTAAGACTTTGATCACCGGAAGGAATAGGAAACGGTGACTGTGGTGCCACTGGTGCACGATCTGAAGTCCGGAGGCTAGACGTTGAGCTTCTGGCTCTTGTGCTGGTGTCGGATGGCACGCTAGTTCTAGTACTAGACGTGTCAGGTACAGCAGTAGCTGGTCGCGGTGGCGTAGGTAGAGGTACAGTAGTAGCTGGTTGCGGTGGTGTAAGTAGGTCCGAGGGATAAACGCAATCAGCTTGATTAGCCGCATCAGTGACACAGTCCCAGCCTGACGGGCAGCAGAGCCAGCCGGCGAAGCCACAGGGGTTCGCGCAGTCCTGTCTCCTCAGTACATCAATGGGTACTTCAATCCGTAGCGCTGTGGCGACGGGGCATGCGAATGAGCCAACTGAGATGAGAAGCTGGAGGAACTGCATTTTGGCGCCTGCAATGGATTAAGAGAAGGAACTCGGAGTCCTCCTGGAGCGGCCTAGATAAACATCGATCAAAGCTGAGATACACTATCCTGTATCGAGCTATGTCTTGCATACTTGCCAACTTGGCACCTCAAGGCTGAGGCGAGGCTGAGGAAATGTTCATTTTGTGGCGGGGAGACAGGCGGGAAGTCGAAGCTCTCGAGCGCTTCTCCGCGCGCTTGACGAGCTGTTCAAACCATCCATGTTTTGTGACTCTGTTTTCCTTGTACTGTTTTCTTTTGGTTCCGTCCGCTGACATCTCCATCACACCGAACATTCATACAGTAGCGGCATAGGATCGTTAGAGAAGGGAGATTCGAATGGCTGGGCTGACAGCAACGATAGAAAAGACGCGAGAAGTAGAGGGAAAGAGAAAAAGAGAGTTTAGGGTAAAACGTTCACCACGCTTTGCTATCATGAGCTCACTTGCCATGCTCTTAGATACGTTCTCTCTCTACTGTCTATTCCGACACCCTCCCACTGTTCCACGCACAAACTCCCCTCGTCATCAACGCACCCAAGCCAACCCACACATCAACCCTCCCTTCCCACTTCCTCATCCTCATCCTCATCCTCATCCTCATCCTCATCCGACATGCCCCTTCCCCGCCTACTCCTCATCGTGTACCCAAGCCATCGTGATTGTCTTACTCGGCGGCGGCCTCAAGCACACTTCCAAATCCCTCTTCAACCACGCAATATCCCATGTCCCCTTGGCAACAACATACGTCCAGATACCGTACATCAGAGGAAATATGACGGATTTTTTATCCACACGACCATGCCAGCATTTACTGATGAGGACCCTGCAACGCAGAAGAAAGGTTAGGATGAAGAGAGCGAGGATGACCAAGGAGAGATATGAGGGTGTTGTAAATTGAGAGGGGTGGTATTCGTTTACCATGGTCGTTTTGTCTTGGTGATAGCGGTGGTGGTGGTGAGATGGGTAGTGTGTCTGGGTACGTTGGGATGAGAGCTTTTATGTGGCGAAAGTTTGCGTGAGAGCAATTGAAGTCGTGTGGGCGCTTGTCTGAGCCAGAATTGGAATGTCGGAGAAATGGGTTTTCGTTTGACGGAAGACAGTGCGAGAAAGACGCGTCATGCATATGCCTTGGAGAGTCGAGCGGAACCCTACCTCCGCAACTTGACCTTCCCCTTCGCCAGCGCATTCAAATGATACTGACTCCCCATCCCAAGCGGCCTCCCCTCCCACTCCTCCCTCCAAAACCTATCCACGACACCCAACTGCGGATCACCCCGATCATACAGCGTCGTCTCCTTCATCAAATCCCAATGCTCCGCCTTCTTCCACCTCAGCAACATGGGCTTGAGAAGCCTCCCCGTAACATTCTTGTTCCGACACGTCGTGGCAAAGTCTTCGATCTGGCCGTCGAACCACTCGAGCGACGGATCGGCAGGCTGCCAGACGGACATTGATTCCAGAGTTGGCCAGAAGTCAAGGAGGGAGAGGGAGGCTTGGAACATGTAGGATACGTCCATGCGGGCGTTCATGAGACACTGCGCTTCCTGTTTGGACTCTTCGAATGTGAGGCCGTTGGGTAGGATGGAGGAGTCGAAGGGGAAGGGGAGTTGGGCGTGCGAGAGATCGGGGCGTAGCGTGAGGTGGCGTAGGTTTGGCGGGAATAGTGGATAGATATCCTTGGTGATGGAAAAGTCGACGTCGCCAGTGAGGAAAGGGAAGGCGACTTCAAGGGTATGTAGTTCGGTGAAGTCGGTGAGATCAAGGAAGCCGCACAGTCTATCGCCAATGCGGGGTTGGGCGAAGAAGAAGGCGTCTGGGTCGGAGTATTCTGCACAGAGGACCAGGACTTCCAGGGTGGATTGCAGGGGCCTGAGGTGCTCGTTCCAAGCGTCGACCATGAGTAAATCTCCTCGCTGGGTAGTCTGGGCCTGGGCGTTGAAGTAGGAGTCGTACGTAAGAGACCGTAGCTTTGGCGTGCATTGGAATAACGACTTCAAGCCCCGGTTAAAGGCACCCGAGTGTCGGAAGACCAACGTAGTGATATTAGTCGCTGTCGGAAAGGCTATCAGTGAGTGCGATATAGCCACACCATGTGCATGCGACTGCCCTCCGAGATTGAAAAATTCGAGTTTCTCAATGCCGGGGATGTTCAAGAAGTGGCCGATTGGATTGCGATTGTTGTCTCCGGGATACCAGACCCCAGTCTTGCGATCAACCATGAGAGATACTTCTTTGATGGATGAGAGGCGATCAAGGAGAACTTGCGATGGATAGCGCCGGTTCCAAAGAGTTCCGGGGTCGAGATTGCGGAGGACATTGTGGAGGTGGTCGAAGGTGGCCTGTTTGTAGTCTGCTACGTCGAGTCGACGGAGCTTTGGAAGGACGAGAAGGGCGAGTGCTGCATAAGCAGAGTACTCGCGCATGTAGATGGCGTCTCTCAGATAGTCTCCGGCAGCCACCAACGTCTCATCACTCAACGCAACCATGGCTTTCCGAAACATCTGTTTATCGTCAAAGGTCTTGTCTGGCGCCAGCCACCGCTGACCCTGTTTAACATCTTCGCTTGGGGATAGTCCCAGGCGGATTGACTCGACATTGTTGGCTTTGCGGCTGTCGCTGATGATGTTTAGGCAGAAGCGATCGATCCTGGGGAGTTTGTTGCCAGGCGGTATGAAGAGATCGACATGGCGGTACAGGAATGGTATGGCTAGATTGGAAAGACTTTTGTTGATTCGGCAAACAGCGTAAATGTCGTGTTGAGCGAGATAGGATACGATGTACTCTACGAGCTCTGTGGGGAGGAGGGAGAAGGTCGCCATAACAATAGCGATGTAGTGGAGAGATGTCGCACAGAGACTGAAGGCTTATAATAGCTACACAGGATTCAAAGAAAGCAGTCGCAAGAAACCAGGAGCAGGAGGGTGTTGGTGATAGTTGCGCCACGCAAAGGGTTGCCTGACAGAGGGGACGTGAGGCCCGTGCACAAGGCTGACGGGGCTGATTGGTTGCCTTGAGAGCACATGGCAGAAGCAGTTGGATTGCCATGACGCTCGTGTACGGCGAGATGGTTCTGAGAGGCTGACGAGTATCCGTCGTGCAGCGATGTGCCGCTATGCTCGACCCATCTGCCGGCTGTGATCCGAGAGAGTCTACACATGGCTACGTCACAAGCGGCTCTACAACACGTGACCATGCTATGCCGATCATATGCGTTCGCACATGTCAACGAAGGTGTGTGAGCACCGGCGCCATGAAGAGTGCTGTGTCACTCTTTATGCGATATCCAGATCTGGGGAAGACGGGCTAATTCTCGGACTACCCCGCGTTATGGTGGGTATGGATAGACATGACGAGGGCTAGCTCAACCGTCGTGCGTCGTATGAGATGCGAGATGTTGCAAAGCGCATGTTCCTCGTGGGTGTTCCGGGCTATCGGAACCACTCGGAGCGTACTCAAGACCTCTAAAAGAATGCGGCAGGTAATAGCCGGCGACGCAACATGGCATCGCGATCGCATATCGAGCATGGCGGTCCACTACTGGTCGTTACTTGATGGTGCACGATGATTTGCCTCGATAAGGCCAAGCGGGATAACGGCATGCGAACGAGTTCTGGCGATGTGCGTGGTTGGCGGCGTAGGTGGCCGTTGCGATGTGGGCGGCCATTCAGCGGCCGTGGATCTGTCAGAGCTGCACACCATGGCGAAGCGAGACCCAGACGGCCAGGCCAAACAGCGCATCGTGGGTGAAGTCGATGGCTCCGCTATCTTGGAATGGTGGTTGTTAGTAGGGACAGCATTGGGGATGGCCTCGGTGAAGGCTCGGAAGGCGCACTTTGATCTTGTCAGGTGCGTCGCGGGTTCCGACATGTTCCTCTCCAGCAACGGTCCGATGCGCCAAACCTGCCAAACCTCCTTCCCCCCGCCATCTCCCCCCAGTCTCCTATAAACACAGTCGCCGCCTACCCCGCTGACATCAACGGCACCGCATACCCTCACATATAGCCCTGGAGACGCGTAGACGCCCACCCCAGCTGCAGCTCGCCTACGTCACACGCACATTTGCGCCGATAATCGCCAACCATCACCAACCTTGGAACCATCACTCACGACCCGCCCCTGTTCCGCGGCTCCCCCTTGGATCAGTGCATGGAATAGAAAACGTCGCAGTGCCCGAGCTTGACGGCGCAGTCGGAGCGCCGCCTGTGCTGTTGTTATTTGGTCGCTGCACGAAACGCCGTTGCGGAGCCGCCAACACAACACACACCTCTACACCGCCGCTAGTATTCGACCTTTATAGACACGCCATCTTATGCCCCAGAGCCACCAGCGACCCTCACCAGATCAGACACCCTCCGATACCACCATGACCACCAACCGCCCATTCTTCGGCGGCTTCCTCGCTGCCTTCCGCGCGCAACAGCCTAGCCTCCAGAAGACCACGGCCTCCCAAGCAGCGTCTGTGGCCTCGTACTCCCAAAACACCACCTCACAACAAAACAACACCGTCGACACAACAGCCGCGTCGTCACGGACCATCACCACAAAGACGCGCTCCCCATCGCCTGGTGCGACAACCGTGTCCGTCCAAGCGACAGGCCACTTCCAACCCACCCGACAGCACACCGCCCCCTACAACCGCTCCACATCACCCAAAACCCAAGCCTTCCCAATACCAGGCGCGTCGCGTCGAGGCAGGCGGGGCTCCGACAGCTCCTCCGAAGGCTTCCACGAAGCCATGGGCGCCGAGAAGTGGTACATCGGCGGGCGAACAGCGACCGGCGAGGAGAAGTTCTACAAGCTGGGCATGGTCAAGCGACACAGAAGCGCCGACCGCCTGAGTCTAGACAAGCTCAGCATATGAGTTGGGAGAGGGTTACTTTGCTTCAAAAGCGCAACTGCATCATCGGCGTTCAGGACACGAGATCTCACCGCAAGATCCACGTTTGGGTTATCTAGAATCTTTCACCGTACAAATATGGCCTGTCGTATGGCTTACGAATACACGTATATATTTGCGGGCTCTTCGCCTGAGCTCACTCGAGATGGTCGTCTGCAGCATGCATGTGAAAGTTTGGTGTGCCAAGGAGTCATGTGCCGAGGTCAGTATTGGCTAGCACTCGTAAGGCGTGCACTATCTTACAACTACACTAGTAGTGCATTGTCGCCTTCGAGAAGATACTTGGTACGCGGATGCAACATACTTCGGAGCATTTCCATCGTCGGCGGCAAAGTTTCCGACCGGACATTCTTAGCCCGACACCCATGTCGGCTACTCCACTCACCGGATATAACCTCTCGACACGATGTAGGCGAAAATCTTCACGGAAAAGACGCTCCTTGGGCAGCGACAAGTCTCCACCCGCGGATATGAAGCCGTTGCAGGAGCGCTAATGCACAAAGATAGCCCAACATGTACTCTAATCGTGAACATATCTAACGTCTCTCGTCACCTGCTCTCTCTCTTCTCGCATTCTCCAACAAATTCGGATGTCGCTGCAAACACTCTAACCAGCAGCACGAGTCCCTTCCCGACTCCTTCACCAAAACCAGTATCCACTCTATAATCTCGCCTTCTATGAGTACACAAAATGGCACCCTCTTCCACATCCTCCTCAGCACCCGCTGGCCAACACGCACCCCCCAACTCCTCCTTTGCCGAACCTGAAAAGACGACCGAATACGCCTCCATCATCCCCCAACCACGCAGCAATGAAAACGACCAAGACCGTCTCCAACTCCAACGCACAGTCTCCTCCGTCAGCCACCACGACATGGCCAACGTCCAATACATCGCCACCGGCGACAACGACGTCATCTACAACAAATTCACCGAGCGCCGCAAAATGGTCATTGTAGCCGTAGTCTCTTTTTGCAGTTTCCTGGCTCCCATTTCCTCGACCACGGTGTTGTCTGCTGTTCCTGAGGTTGCGGAGACGTTTGATACGGATGGATCTATTATCAATGTGTCCAACGCTTTGTACATGTTGTTTATGGGGTTGTCGCCTTGTTTCTATGGTCCGTATGGGAATATTTATGGCAGGAAGTGGGTTAGTGTTGTGAGCGCTGGGTTGTTTACTGCGTTTTCGATTGGGACGGCGTTGGCGCCGAATTTGGCGAGTTTTTTTGTGTTTAGGATTTTGACTGCGTTTCAGGGGACGGCGTTTTTGGTGATTGGGAGTGCGGTTATTGGGGATGTGTATAAACCGGTATGTACTCTCTTCTTGAAGTCCTTTGGGTTGTGTGAGGTCTCCTTCGAGTAGAGCTGTGTGCAGGATATCAGCACATCCCTTCCTTTCCCTGCAACCCCGTGTCTACCGACACCCCCATCACTTCCCCTACTAACACCTCCGCAGACCGAACGCGCAACAGCCCTAGGCTGGTTCCTCAGCGGCACCCTCATCGGCCCCGCCCTCGGCCCCTTCATCGGCGGCATAATCGTAACATTCCGTTCCTGGCGCGACATCTTCTGGCTTCAAACCGCCCTGGCCGGTGCCGCAACCCTCTTCTGCTTCTTCCTGCAACCCGAGACCATCCACAAGAAACGCGCCGACGAACTCGTCGGCCTCCCCACTGCACAACGCGCACACAAAATGTGGCAGTGGCTAAACCCTTTCCGCGTCGTCAAACTATACCGGTACCCCAACATCCTCTTAACGGCACTGGCGAGTAGTAGTCTCGTGTGGAATATGTATAGCCTGTTAACGCCGATCCGCTACGTCCTGAACCCACGGTTTGACTTGCAAAGTCCACTCCAATCCGGCCTCTTCTACATCGCCCCCGGCTGCGGCTACCTCCTCGGAACCTTCTTCGGCGGCCGCTACGCCGACCACATAGTCAAAAAATACATCCAGCGCCGCGGCCACCGCGTCTCCGAAGACCGGCTCCGCTCCTGCGTCTTCTTCCTCGGCGGCGTCATACCCGCCTGCATGCTGATCTACGGATGGTCTGTCGAGAAAAGGGTTGGCGGCATCGCGCTGCCGGTTGTAATGATGTTTCTCCAGGGTGTGGCGCAACTGTTTTGTTTTCCGAGTCTGAATACGTATTGTTTGGATGTTATGCAGGGGCGCAGTGCGGAGGTTGTGGCTGGGAATTATTTTATGCGGTATATGTTTGCGGCGGGGGGGTCGGCGGTTTGTCTTCCTGCGGTGAGGGCTATTGGGGTGGGCTGGTTTAGTACGATTAGTGCGGGGTTTTTGGTGGCGGGCGCGGGCGCGACGTGGTTGACTGCTGTGAAGGGGAGGGGGTGGAGGGAGGGGATTGAAGAGAGGAAGGCGCAGAGGAAGGAGGTGGCGTTGGCGTGAGGTGGTGGTGGTGGTGGTGGTGCATTAGAGGTAGTTGTGATGGTACTGGCGAATAGACTTTAATCATAATATTATCAGGCTTAATGCCGTTTCTACCTCTAGCGCTTCCTCTATCATCCAGTTTACCTTCACCCTGCTATTCTCGCATGCAGTCTCACGATAAGGCGTCCACCCAGCCGTGGCTGACGCGAACCGCGTACTGTGGCTGAGACGCGAGATTAACACGACAACAAAACGGCCCTTCCCGCATGTCTTTCCAGCTCTCCAGCTCTTCACCCATCACCAACCTCTCATTCAAATCCCCTCTTCCAGCACCAACTACCATGCGCTCCACCATCCCAATCCCTCTCCTCCTCACTTATCTCAGCGTCGCATCAGTCCAAGGATGCCCCGACGGTGGCACAGCATGCGGTTACGCTGCCCAACTCTGCTGTACCGGCGACGAGATATGCATGACAGACGAGAATAATCAGGCGCTTTGCTCTGTTGCTTACGCTATCAATTCAACATTAACGCTGGTGGTCAGCACGGGTTTTGCTACCACGACGTCGACGTCAACGCAGGTCACGGTGTCTGAGACGCAGATCGGTGCCGCGAGTGGTGCTACTACGCCAACTAGCACGTTGTTCGAGAGTGCTGCGCAGAGTGCTGGTTCGAGTGCGGAGTCGAGTGGTGTGGAATTGACAACATCGACTACCAGCGCGGAGCTGACGGCGTCGACTGATGCGTCCGAAGCAACTGATGCGACTGAGGCTCCGGCTTCAACGACGACGGGCGCGGGTGCAAGAGTCAGTAAGGGCTGGTACGGGGTGGTTGGTGTTGGGATGGTGACGGTGTTGGGATGGTGACGGTGTTGATGGGTTGAGTGAGGGAGAGATGGGGATGGAATGACAGGGAAGACGGCGAGCTGCGGCGATGATATGCCGCTATTAATCTGTACCGCGGAACAATAGTATGAGAACAAGCCATCTCACCGTATACATCGTTGCTCAGCATGTCTTACCTCTTCCCGCTTTTCCACCCAGACATGGCCGTCCGGTCTTGCGACATTTCAAGACAATCTCAGAGAATGTTTTACCTTACAGTGAGCAAGCTTTACCTCTACCATCAAGATGACAACTACAAAAGCAAGCCCCCGACCAGATGTCTTCATCCTGCACATCCAATCAACGCAGCTTTGAATATTAACACACAACCCGGGAAATACTCCTCTCAATAAACCAATACGGGTACGAAATGCCATCTTATCACTACCACATTCTCCAACAACTGCCCTCACTCATTGCAACCATTCTCCTCGCCTTGATCTTCCGCAAGATCTTCTACAAGTACCTCAATACTGCTAGGAAGCGCAGGCACGCTGTTAAAGTCGTTGCGATCAACATCGTCATCGTATCTCTCATGTATGTTGTCGGTAGGAATGTGGTGATGGTGGCGGAGATGCAGAGCCGGCTTGAGGTGGGGCTGGAGGGATTACAAAGGTGTACATGGAGATGTGGAGGCGAGGACAAATGAGGGTAATAGATGAGTTACATGGAAACGGACGGCAGGGAAGCCAAGAGGAAGGGGCAGCTGTGTAGGGATTATGACAGCTGTTCAAAAAGAGACACCAGAATTTGTGGTTTGGCAGGCGATAGAAATGAGATTTCATAAACTCATACCTTCGCTTCCCTTGAAATCAATGTAAATATGCGCTACGACTTCTTCCGTTCATGCAAGTCAGCCACCCTTCACCACCCCCGCCAACACCAAAGCACATTCCACAGACTCTCCCAAATCCATCCACATTCCCCACAACGCAACAACTGTTCCTCCAGTCAAACTCGCAGAGCTCGCAGTCCCGCTACCTCCCACATCCCGCCCGCAACGACGCAGAGAGTGAGGGCGGTCAAGATAAGAGCGAGAAGCGCAGTTTTGTGTTCTCCCTCAAAGAATCCCTCGGGGTCGATGATAATCATGTAAATAAGAGAGATCTGGTAGAGAAGGGCGACTATCTGGAGGAGTTGCCAGAGGAGGTAGATAGTTGGCATTGTGATCGTCGTCTTTGCGGTAAGATTGAGTGGTATCCAGGAGGATAAAATGATGTGTGAATAGCTACGCTTGTTGATGATTGGGATCGATGCAATAGGCCTGTGTCTAATGGCTTTTATGGACGCGTCGTGAAGTGATGGTTTGCTGGCTCGTTGTTCGCGGTGATGCAGGGCACAATCGTGATTGCGATAGCGGTTTCTATTTGTTGTAGGACAGCCAGGTTTGAACATGAGTCTTTTAAGCGATGAATGATTTGCGGTTCCTTCATAAACTATAATCCTCGGGCGAACAACTACACAGCTTTGTGTTCTCTCCAAATTGGATTCGCACCACTGGAACCCTCTAAGTTTGTTCGAGACAATGATTTCTAGGCCACAATCTAGAGTGCAGCAAGCACTGGACCAACAGCGTACTCACGATAAAGCTGTACTGTCGACGCATGTGATATGGTCTTCACAACCATCTCTGGAGCTTTGAGCAACAATCGCCTACATCGAACCACTACCTACCCATGTTAAAAACAATTCTTACCGATCATGGCAAAAACCGTCCAGGACTTTGTATTCCACCTACTCATCATCACGGTGCACATTTTCTGCCACTCTGTCTACCAAGCTTACAACAATGGAGCGACAATCTTGCAAATTATGCACAGATTGAAGAGAGTCCTCTACCTCATCGTAAGGTATATCGCTATCTTCTTCATCGTGTACTACATCTGGACTACAATGACAGTACCAAAAGAGCCGAATACCAAGCTTGACTCGCGCACAACCGGCCAGACGCTTCAAACATGCGACCATTCCCTCTGGTCATGCGACCAGGACCTCAAAATTGCTACACAGCGAAACGAGTAACTAAAGAAGCGGGACACAGTTCATATAGGCGACATAGCGGCTGCGAGACGAAGGCTCAGCGAATGCCAGGCAGACATTAGTGGGCTCATGGAAGATCGAAGTGAAGACTGGTGGGCGTTCTTGCAGGCTCACGACGACCCTCCGTGGAGGGCCGAAATGATGGCCGGCATGTCAGAGCAGATGAGGAATGAGATCTGGGTGGTTGGGCAGGAGAAGAAGAGGGAGCGAGACGGTGAGTAGGGGATTGAGCAGTCAGAAGTATCAATGGCTGGAGGATGTATAGAGAGGTTTGAGTGTAGCTAGATAGAGATGATGGAACCGATCGAGGAGATGAAGAAAGCGAGGGGACGAAATGATTTCTCGTGCGACGATGCTAGTAGCTGTAATGTTAGTCGATTAACACGAAGTTGTTTGCGAAGAACAAGAAGTAAAAAACTCCTCGTGCGATCCCCGCCAACCTCACGCTGCTCCTAACACATTTCCTCTGCATCTTATCTCTTGTCACTCTCCGCGGTGACATCCCGGATTGTGTCCAAAAGGTCAAGAAGCTGACCGTGCAGTTCCTCAGTCTCCAATGTAGCAGTGACTAAGGCGTAGATAGTGAGAGCGAATACAGCGAGTACAAAGAGGGAGTTCAGCGTAACCCCTGCTTTCGCGTTGAAGTAAAGGTAGATGAACATGAAGAAGAAGAAGATTTGACAGAAGAGGGCGATGCATCGAAGGATGATGTGGTGGAGGGGTGTGGATTGCATTGCTTTCTGGATTGACCCCACTGCGTGGGGACGGTAAGAGTAAGCTTAATGGACTAATTGACTGCCGTGGGTGGATAGCTCGTGAGTAGTTGTCGGTGGTGATAGTCGATAGAAGAGAACGTGTGCGTATGGACGGGCTTTATGTATGCGATGGGAGAGCGATGGTTTGTTGGACCTTTGTCCGCGTGATGAGCTCAGGTACCCATCGTTGATATTGGAACAGCAACTTATGGCATTCCGTCCATGCTTCCAGTTTGCGGCTCGCTATTTAACGAGAACAAGAGATTAAAGTTTCTCGCCGCGCGTCTTCGCCCATCCCACACCTAATCCCTCCCTTCCATCATCCCTACTAACTTCCCCTTCCTCTATCTTCCCCGTAACCAAAGATCGAATCACACATTCTCATGCATGTGATGACATCTCCAGATTTCCCTCTCCGCCCACGCCAACTCGTTCCGTAGGTCCGTGATTTCCGACAAGCTACGTACGAAAACGTAGATAGCGAGAGCGGATGCAACAGTAGCGATAACCCAGATTGCATCACGTTCTGCAATAGCTTCTTCGCATTCGGAAATGAGATTGATGAAGACGAAGAAAAGGCAGAGAAGGACGATGCATTGAAGGAACTCCCATGGGAGGTGCGTAGTGGGCATATTGTTTTCGGGCGGCTGGGTGGGTAGTCGGACTGTTGCTCAATCGACTGGGTGCAAGGAAATATTCGGATGGGTAGAGGGATGTTCGTGGCAATAGTTAGGATGAAGATGAACTGTTTGTATTTGACGGTCTTTATGAATGTGACGATACAGAAAGGGGTTTGCTGGCGTCTCTTTCGCAGTGGTGCAAAGTCTTGTTCAGCTTCATCACTGTACGGCCCAGCAATCATTCGATCTTCCAGTTTGAGCGTTATTCTTTGACGAGAACAAGAGCTCAAAGTTCTCTCGCTAGCTACAATTAGTTTCTAGTGCAACAAGGCGCGCTAGAATGCTCTCCAAGGGCCATCGAGACAGTAGTTGCTTGAACTAAAGTTGTTTGCGAAGAACAGGAAACAAGAGATAGCAAGCTTTGGCCTGCTGCTGAAATATACCACCGTGTCAGTGCCCGTGTAGACGCCTCATTCGTTCACGACTTCCTAGCCCAACGAAGCCAAATACACACTCACACGCTCATCCCATCTATTCAACCACACCAAAGACTCATCAGACATGTCAGACACAATCCTTGAGTTCCTGGGGTACTTCTTCTTGTGCGCTCTATGCGTGCTTTTCCATACCGTTATAGACAGCATCTTCCGCGGCCATAACTTCGACCAGACTATGGACCGCTTTCAGAATGACCTGCGCGTTATCGCGGGATGCTTCCCGGTATGCATTGCGGGTTACTTCTTGGCAGTTATTGTGGAGGGCGTCTTGAGTAAAAAAACACAAGACTAATGCGTTGGTTGTAAGATGAAAGGGGGAGGGGGGAGATGGTCGCGTGTGGATGGTTGATGAAGCACGAGGGATGGAAAGAACCTAGGGCAGAATACTGGAGAATGGATGAGGTAGAATGACTTGGCTAGATAATCGAATGGCGTGCAACGGCCCGATGGATGGCTCGGTTTACTATTTCCGTAGAATGCGTGCCTCGCTTGGCCTTTTGTACTATATCAACATGTTAAAAGTCTAACGTACATGTGTAATTCCACGACGTCATTTGGCTGCACGTACCTTGTGGCCTGTGCTTTGTAAAGACTACTTCCAAAAGCAGAGAAGCTGCTAGCAACTCTGAAGTGCTCCTGAGAAGAAGGAGAAAGAGAAGATCGTCAAACTCGGATTGCTGGCCTTAGCTATCACGCTTTACATCTCGTCTACTTGATCAAAGGAGATAGCAAGCGCAACGAATCACCTAGGTAACGTGTGGATATATCAACAGGATCGCCGTAGACTTATTAATATCGCCTACAGCATACCAATCCAGCCATGATGTCCATCATCCTCAAATTCACCATCTTGGCAATCTACTGCTACGCTCTCTTCAGTGAACATGTTCCGGAAGCAGCGCGGTTTATATTCGGTACCGCATGCACACTCGCCAGATGCGATGACTTCCGGTCATACAAAAGCGACCCGGCTCTCGAAACATGCAAACACAATCTCGATGTCCTCGTACAGCGTAATCGTGAACTAGAGACCCGCCTCAAAGAGAGCATTGATGATAGTCGATGGGCCCGGTTCACAGACCACGAAGACGACGACCCTGAATGGATGAAGGGGTTGAGGGGTTGCTTGTCGGAGCGTGTGGAGGAGGGGATTTGGGGGATTAGGAGGCGGAAGGGGGAGGAGGTAAAAGAATGAGGGGAAGGGGAAGAAGAGGCTAAAGAGGGACGAGAGAGGGATGATGGAGAGATGCGATCAGAATTAGATGAGGCTGAGTGAACTCCGTTCCTGTTCTACGCGTTTCAAAGAAAAGACGGTTCTGGAAACGCGAAAACACTTCTGGAATACTGGGGTGATTTGATGCGCTCTTTGATCTCTCCGGCTTGATGAGTGCAGGCAGCAAACCCAATCTCATCGAGCATAGCTACATCATCAGAACGTACGGATCAGATCACCATCGCGCAATGTATACCCCATCCCATCATGTCATCGTACACCATCATTGGACTAATAATCCTTGCAACCTACTCCTCCGTCTGGTTCGTCCGCATCATTATCCACTCCCCGCTAATCATCGTATTGTACCCGAAATGGGCCAGGTTCCTCTCGCTAAGCATATCCGTCCTCGCCGTGATCGCAGCCTACCAACTCCGCACAAGCAGTCAAGCCCTCCACACAAGCGACCAAGCCCTACAAGCATGCAGCCATGGCTTGCACGCATGCGAAGGCGACCTGCAAAATGTTACACAACAGTATACCGTACTAAAAGACAATCACCCTATGAAGGGAGTGCCTGTTTTAAGGGCTGAGCTGAGCAAATGTCAGATGGAGAAGAGTATGCTGGGGTGGTTTGATGATGCTTGGCGGGTGCATGTTGGAGAGCACGGGGAAGACGATGGAGATGAGTGGAGAAGGGGGATGATAGATACGATGATTGCGCAGATGAAGGATTCGATTTTGTCTGTTGAGAAGAAGAGAAAAGACGAGAAGAGGGAGCAGGCAGAGAGCCACGAGGAGAAGTAGAGGATGAGATAGATGTTGGGGAAGTGTGGAGATAAGAAGAAGGTCCTGGTGAAGCGGAAATCCTTCTGGAAGGCTAGAATAATGAATTCACCTCTTTGACCTCTTTCCCTTGATTGGTTTACAGCAAACCCAAGCTTACAAGTGTAGCTATATCAATAGAAGAGGAAGAGAAGAAACCTAATCACACAACGCATACCACCTCATCATGTCACTGTGGCTTGAAATAGCTGCGTCAACACTGCGGTTCAGAATAGCCGCGTCCATCATCCTAGTCCTCTTGATCGCCCTCTTCATCCCTCACCACTTCGAACTCAATCGTGTCCAGTTATTCAGCCTCCTCATCATCGCCGCACTCACCGCTATGGAGCTCTACACAAGCGATCAAGCCCTCCTCGCTTACAGCCACGACCTTCAGTCATGCAATCACGCCCTCAATGTGACCGTGCAAAAGGGGGTAGTACAAGCGCACAAGCACAGCCATCACATGGCTGGAATGGCTGCTTTGAGAACTAATCTAGGTGAGTGTCTAGAAGAGAGGGATGTGCTAAGGCGCAACGAGAAGGACTGCTACGCGCGTTCTAAGGTGGACGAGCAAAGCCTTGAGTGGATTAGGAAGATCGTGGATGGTATGCCAGAACGGATGAAGGAAGATATTTGCGCGGGTGGAAAGGAAGGAGAGAAGAAGAAGGAAGGGCAAGGGGAAACGGCAGGAGAGGATGACGCGGAAGGAGATAAGGCCGAGTAGATGACTTACAAGGTAGCGATGTGCAAATTGAACAGCACCTTTCCACTACTTCCCGTCATATCACAAGACGTGACTGAAAGACGCAATTGGATGGCCGCACAGCATAACCTTTGTGGCTTACGGGATGCGGTCCGCTCGGAACCCGAGAGCCCCGTTGTTTCGTTACCGCGCTTTAGATAGGATACGAATATAGAAAGCAGCATGTATCTGTACTAGAACGCGAAGTCAAGCCTCACAGGACCTCAAATCGCGCGCGAATAGTGCCCACTCTTACCTTTTTTCCCGTGCAAGCCGTCACGACACATGTTCGAAAGTCTCTAGACTACCCAGCATGTCGTCGATCTCCCACCACGCATCCCTCCGCTACATCTCCACCATGTTCAGCGCCACATTCATCGCATTTGGGCTGATCTACATGTTCTTTCCCCGCACCGGCTACTCTTTCTTCGGCTTCAGCAGTAGTCCAACCACATCTTCTGAATGGGCCATGATGGAGCGCGTCATGGTTCTCTACGGCGCCAAAGACGTGTTTGTATCTGTGGCTATCTTTGCGACGACATGGTATGGAACGAGACGCAGTGCAGGGTTGGTGCTGGTTGCGGCGGGTGCTTGCGCGGGCGTTGATGGGCATGTGGTTGGGAAGCAAGCCGGGATGGGAAAATGGAACCATTGGGGATATGCGAGTGCGATGGTGGCGCTTGGGTGCTTGGGTGTGTTATGATGGGCGTGATGGGCTGAGCGGCTCTCGGGATGGAAGCGCGGATGGGAGGCGCGGACGGAGTTGTGGTGGCATCTCACTGTACGATGTTGATTTTCGGCGAGGCTTTGGAGATGGCATGTTGAACTATTCTTGCGTCTAATGAGTTTAGTGCGACACAATAGATTCAATCTGTCAAGGAGGAGGATGGCCACGAGGAAGGTGGACCTTGCGGTATCCCACGTGCCGCGTGTGTCTAGCGCGACTCCGGGGTTGGCGCGTCATAGCGACTTGCATCCCGCGTTGCCTGACCCGAACTCTTACATGAACATCCGCAATGACCGACATCTGGAGCGGAGATATTCTGCTACCCGACGGCAATGTTATCAAAGGTACGTATCATCATTCATCGAATATATACACTCGTTGATCCCCCACAGACGTCGGTCTCGCGTCGCAAAATGTCGCATCTTCCCCAGCCCTCCCCGCCACGTCGTTACGCTTCCTCACCACGGTCGATATCGCCAGGATACCGCTATATCTTGCCGCCGGCCCCAGTCTAGATGTTTGGACGACTGAAGAAGCTACTCAGGCTTGGTTCGAGGCAGTCCTGCTGAGTAAGCCTACACTGGCACACGCGCCCAACAACGCCGCGAAAGAATGGTGGGACCTCGCGCGATCACAATCGCCAATTGGTTTTCTTGTACAAGTCCAAAGGGCTGAGGAAGACGGGCGAAAGCCCAGAGTGACCGAGATCCTCGTCTATGGCACCGTCGCCGCTCCCTCCACAGCTGGGCTACCATCCTCGTCCCCATACGTCGACAATGCGCACGCCGAGATACTTCCTGAGCTTCGAGTTCACGCACTGCCACTTTCGTCTGATCTTTTAAATGCCACCAGCGTTGACCTGCCCATGGACGCCGAGCCTCAATTCCTTCCGCCGCAGCACGATTTCCACAACCCCCCAACATCACCCAAACGCACACGAGACATTTTTGAAGAAGCTACCATTGCAAACAAGAAGGCACGGGGAAGGGGTGGAAGAGCAGTCTCGGCAGCAGCGGCCCGCGTGAGCGAGTCTCAGCAGGCATACAGCCACCGAAAGTCGTCGCTTTCTATTGATCTGAAAGCCTCATCTTTCTCCGACTCCAGACCAACGTCTGCCTCTGACCATCTAGCCCGCCCTTCTTCGCGCCCACTCTCGCGATCACCGAGCATAACCTCCGACACAAGACCCCTCAGCCGAAAGGGTCAACCCGACGCGCATGCCAGGCGATCGAACCTGTCACAGGTCGCTACGGTCCCCATACAGCCCGAAGAGCCAACAACCGAGTCGCGAAACAAGGACGCACTGGTCAAGGTGGTCATGGCAGCGATGCGCATGCATGGCTTGCAGCAGCGGAAACAGAACAGGTCTCGCCGCGCCTCCGTGGCTGGTGCCGAAGAGAGTCAGCAGCGCAGTGATGAAGCAGCCGCCGAAGAGGCTGCGAAGGACGACGAGTACAAGCTGATATACCATCAAACCTTCAAGGGTGCACAACTGGCACTGGTAAGATCCATAAGCGTGAATCTAAAACGTTTGCTGACGATGTTACAGAGAAAGCACATGTCCGAGAAACCGCTACACGCCACACCCGATCGTATGCGCGACATCGTTGAAAAGCTCCTCGCCCTCTTCCTCTCCGACCCGCTTGCGGAGCCTCCGCCCCCCGAGATACCTGCGGACCCAGTTGCCACACCCGGTAGTAGACCCAGATTTGTTATTCCTGGATCCACACATGGCCATGCCAGTCCGTTCGACCTGCCTAGTACACAGCGACGTCCTGGCATGATGAGATCAGTTACCGATAGCCATGTCTATACGGGGTCGCCTGTGAGCAAGAAGAGGGTTACCACGGGCGAGACGTTGACTGTGCCTGCGTGAGGTGCAGTACGAGGTGCCATTACTGGATACGAGGACGACCTCATCACCGTCGGCTATGATGATGCACTCTCCGGGGACTGAACATGGGCCACGGACGCGTCACTGGAAATTTGCAGTTGATCTATTCTTGCATAGTTCCTTTCTTGGCACCCTCGGCCACGCTTGTCACCATCAGTAAGCACTGTGGAACATTCACCAACCCTCCCAAAGCGGCAATTGTTAGAGGAAATGCCGCGATGCCGTAGTCGTGGTACAGCGATGATCTACGTGCCATTGCAGCGGAGCCTTGCGCATACGAGTGGCGTTGTAAACCGCGGAGACCGAACTCGACCCGGAGTTGCCTGAGACGGTTCGAAGGACTGTGGCTATGCGACGTTGCATCGTCACATCATCACAGGAGCGACATCAGCTATGCTGTTGCAACCATAGCCCCGTAAACGATTAGCATAGTTATAAAGACTCATCGTCGTCGGGCTGAAGCAGAAACCAACACCACCAACGCCGACAGATCTCTCATAGATCCACCCCGTTCGACCATAAAAAATACTCAAGATGCTCTCCAAGATCACCGCCCTCATCCTCCTCGCTACCAGCGCATCCGCAGCGACTCTTCCCCGAAGCGCAGACTGGACCTGGGACGTCACCGACTTCAGCAGCGTCTGCACCGCATCAGCATGCCGCTACTCCTTCAACGTCACCGCGCCCACCGGTCCCTCCGGCCAACCAGCCTTCGATGCCGAATTTTGTTCTGGCACTAGTCTCCAGGGTGGCTACAAGTCCTGCGGCGTGGTCGGCATCGATGTACCGGGCGATGTGCAGACGCAAGAGTTCAACCGCGGGAGTGATGTCGGCGCGACTGTTAGTGTGCAGTACACGTTTATGCAGTGAGTATATCATATGGGAGGAGGTAGGGGGAGGGGGTTGAGGGATGGTGAGAGCTGACATGTGGTAGGGGTGAAGTGAGGTACACGTACACGGGTAGCGAGACTGTTAAGCATACTGGATTGGGTCCGGCTGTGGACTTTAGCATTGTGCCTACGGAGGTGACTGCTGTTGCTTAGGACGGTCAGAAAGTCACTGGACACGGACGTACAACCCCGGTTTCTCGGCAAGATATTCAAGGGAGCAAAGCTGTGAGCCCGCCCAGCACGGAGGAGTAGCTTGATAACATGGCGGTGGCTGAAACATTTGATACGTTCGGCAACATGTTCCTATGTATACGTCACCTATATACCTCCCAGAACCAAATCAAGCGCGGACACTCGTGAGAGCAGGTCCAGCATTCACAGAACCTAGCGCGTTCATCTCTTTCATCCTACCTTCTTCCGTGCTCTCTTCTTGATCTATCAAGCTCGCGTTCTGATACCCTTATTCCGAATCCAAGCCTACCACCTCCCCGAAAACATTGACATGCAACGTTCCGCCTTGCATCATGTTGATGTACATGCTCCCACCCCGGTGTATGTGGATGTTAATCTGCGTAGAACGGATTTCGGAAGCGGCTCCCTCCTCGATCTCCACTTCTTCTGGCTGCTCGCCGTGCTCTTCATGTCGATCCTCCCCATCATCATCGTCGTTGCTGTCCTCTGCATCTTCCAATCCCTCCGCATCATCAACACTCCCCTCACTATCTCCCGCCATATATCCAGCAACCATGCCCTGCCCCACACCTTCTCGCAGCTCAACAGCATCATCTCCATCATCTTCCTGGGCTGCCGCATGCATATTCGCCAAATAACGGACCCCCAGATACAACAACGCGGTCACCACCGCTAGACTATTTGCTGCCCACCAATTCGGGAATAGGCCAAAAATTCCCAAGTCGAAAAATGCAATGATACAGTAGATTTTGATGATCCAGGACTTTCTTTCAGCAGCGTGACGGGCAGCGGGTATGTTGGGGGGAATGTTTTGGTCGGGCATGGTTTGGATAGTGGGGTTTTTGGGTGGGTTTGGTGGTGTGTGAGGGGTTTGTGGGTAGGTTGGAGATTTGATGATGAGGGATGGCTGGTGAGATGATGGTTTTGGGGTTTTGGAAAGGGAGAGTGGTGCGGAAGGTGAGATATGGCGTGGATTGATGTTTGCTGCAGGAGCATTATTGGCAAGTTTGCTTTGTTGCTTGTGCTGAGAAGGAGCTCATATTTGCGTCTATTTATTGTGCTGCGCGACTATTGAATACAAAAGAAATAATGAGCTACTGGTTTCTCCCATGTGTGCTTCGTACGGCAATCTCAAATGCAATTTGTTCCTTTCCATCCACGTAAATGTCCACCAACGTTTGTCCCAATTTCATGTCCCTCCCTCAGCTTCCGCGTTTGTGATAGTATGCCCGGCGATGTCTCGATATACCGCCGTGCTGAAGTGGTGATGATACGAAGTTAGTATATGCCTCACATATATCTCGCACAGCCACAACTTACCCATGAGGATGCATACCCAAGTTAACAGTCCGTCGACTATCAATCCAGAGCTCTTCTTACCACTAATTACTCTATAGTCTCCACTGTAGTCACAGTCACGGCAACTCTCGTAAACCGTAGTCCTATACCCTCCTCGTGCGACGAAACCCTTGTCGATATTCCCTTGCCCACCCACAAACTATCGGCCCTATATCGCAAGGCATAAATAGACACAAGGTATGCAACCCGAGCAAGAGTCTTCATCTTCTCAACCCCTCCGCATAGCATCACAAGCATCAAACAGCTGACGATGCCTAGTGCGAAGGTGAGAAATACAGAGATCGTCACCCATGCCACTACGGGAAATATGTTGCAGACCCAGGTTGTGCAGCCCATCGTTGTTTTTCCACCGTCTGCGACGCTAGCCACGTAGTTGAACGTGACATTCGAGATCTGGATAGATGCTTTGCCAGGGGAGGGCACGAACTCGAGGGCGAAGGTTGCCAATTCGATAGCGGAGGTCGCGAATGCGGTCATCGTTGCGAAGGAGAAGGTAGAGGCGAGTAGGGCGAACAGTGCGAATGTGGCGAGCAGGACAATGGAAAGCTTCCTTGCTGACGGAAGTCTAACGTTCATGGCGCGGAAGGTAAAGCCAGAGTGGAGAGTAGCGTCGGAGTTGTCTTCCATGGCAAACGGAAAGATACGGTGTGCTGAGAAGGGCGGATGTGGTGACCCTAGGTCAATGATGATGATAGACGTGGGATGTAACAGTAGAATGATAATGTGAGGAAGCAACTAGATCCCACAAAGGACGAACGAGATCAAATATAGCGTGTGTATAAAGTAAACAGAGACGCGAGTGCGTGAGGCGCGTGCTGTTGTTAGGGAAGAGGAAGATGTCTTACATTTACCTGGCGGCCGGTATCGCACGCGAGCGCCTAGCAACACGCCCACATGGCTCTAGATAGGTGGTTAGGTTTCAAAGATAAAGTCCAGAGTGACTGATCTGTGCCGAATGTCTCAGGTGATGTGCTTTGCGATCGTTCGATTGCATGTAGCTGCGATCAGAGAGCCTGCTACGCGCCTGCATGATCAAGTACAGAGGTCAGTCTGGGCTGGAGCAGATGCGGTAGAAGTAACGCTTCGTGCACACTGTGAAATTGAAGGCATGCTGGATATTCGGTCTTTTTCGAGCTCATCAGTCATTATGAGGGTGTTGGAGCGTTGTCGCGTCTTCACCACGCAACGTGTACGTCCTCGCACCGGCGAATTCGGCCGCGGCAGCGACATTGCAGCGGTACAGTCACGCGGAATACTCTTTGATGCATCTCAGAAGATCGTCGCAATCTACGGCAACGTGAAATGCTTGGATGTAGACTGCGCAAATCGATGCTGAGCCAGGCTGCCGATGGTGATCTTGCACCGCAGGGCCACAGAAAGGAAGCTACGGTGACTTTGGCGATGCTGACTAACCATGGCCCACACACGCGACGCGACGCGTCTTGTCTTCTTGAATTTCACTCATCGCGTCCTCAGCGTCAGCACACGCGCTTTCGCCGACATCACACTACGACCAGCCCGGCATCAGCAGCAGCTCAAGACCTATCGAATTTCTTGTCCTATGCGGCACGTCATGTGACTAGCATCGTCCGTCGCGCAGCTGGCGATGAGTGAGATCTACATGCGGCTTCCTCAATAATGGTCATCACGGACTTGCGATGAGAAGAGATTTGGTCACCACATTATATATCTGTCCATTGCCTACCCAGATGTACATTAATATCTCACTCTGTTCAAGGGAACAGATGATACCCACTAAACGTGGAACCCAGAAGTCTAAATCCTTTCAGCGTGTCGTCGAGCATTGTTCTGCGTACTAATACAGCCCCCAATCCGCCTACTCGATATCTTCATTTATGAGACCGTCCAGCGGATATGGCACAACAACACCAAGTCGCCCGTCAGCTGAGTGCACAGCTCAGTACTCGACATACCACGCGCGATGCAACTTTACATTATCCAACCGGCCCTGCACCGCTCCGCAAGTGACAGTCTTATCACCCTTTTGAGGATCGGCCGCGAAGTCCAGTTCTAGACCACCTCCGCACTTGAGAAACCCGGGACTGTTAGCGCTGGATTCGAAAGAACAGTCTTCCTCGCCATCGATCTTAAGAGGCCACTTCTTGCCCGCCGTCACGTAAGGTGGATCGTGGATATTGGCGTCGTTCTGATACATGTCCTTCTCAAATTTTTCTTCGTCAATGACAGCATCCTTGAAGCGGCCATCGTCGACACAAAGTTTGACTGGTACACCTAGCGGGCCCTGGTAGATCTGCCACCACTTACTAGCACCGTAGCTGGCCAGTAAGATCTGGATCGAATGGGTGGCCTTCGGCTTTGATGGAGTCGGAGCTGGAGCAGGTTTAGGTGGGTAATCAATCTCAAGCTTCTCTTTCACCTTCGTCATGATCGCCTTCGCCATCTCACGGTAGCCGCTCTCCGTGGGGTGGAACGGTCGGAGTGTCAAACCGGGGTAGTTCTGCTGATACGGGCCGATCATGTCGAGCCACTGCAGGTTATCTGGATCATCTGCGACGGCTACATCGTTACCGGACTGGAGCGCAGCAGTCAAGTTGAACTCGATCTCGCGAGGGTCGTCGGTGAATCTACCGGTCTCAAGCCAGCGCTCGAACTCGGCTTGCGTCGGTTGGCGTCCTTCTCCTGCGTTACCATCGCCATCGTCTATACCTCCCACTATCTCGCCCTGCCAACTAAAGATACCGCTCGGAGACATGTTCCAAAGATAAACATTGTCGCCAAAATATTGGTCATACAGCGTGTGACCAGGTTGGCAAAACCGGTGACCTTCAAGATACTGATCGGTATCGACAAAGGTCGCTCGCTCCGGATGAAAGCTGCCCTTGACCCCGTCCTCGATGGCCTTGTTCAGATAGCGAATAAGCGCATTAATGCGCTTCCGCAAAGCAAGAGTAAGCCTCGGACGATCACTAGACCGCAAACCGAAGCTCACGTTGCTACACCAATCGCCCTCGCCACCCTCGTCGAAGAAGAACTGGAAGTAGCCAACTACAAAGAGCCGGAACTTTGGGTTCTTCTTCACTTTAGGATGGTCGAAGACTTGATTGACAATCCACCGCGCGTCTTGGAAAAGCTGGTCGCGCCCTGTACCAAGGATGTACTGCTTTGTAGCTTCGAGCTCCTTCGCACATTGACCGTTTTGATCCGGGTACTCGGGACCGTATTCTGCACCTTGTGGCGCAAATATACATGCGTATGCGACGCGAGCGAAGTTCGCGTTGTTGCCCCCGGCCTGTAACACGATCATGTCGACGTTGTCAGGGACGTTGTTCAACTGGATATGGCCCAGATGCGGCTCGGCGTCGATCTGTCGCCAGCGGGTGTCTGAACAGGACTGGAAGTGGAACTCTTGTTCGCGGCCTTCGGGGATCCAGGAGTTGTCGTGGCTCATTTGCGGGGCGTATGCGTGGTTTATGCGGAGGCAGTGGTCCATGTTTCCGTCGTAGTCGGTGGTTCCGAAGAAGCCGTATGAGACGCCGCTCTACACTGGGTTCAGCGAATGTCTCCGACGATCGATGCGACCGCGGATTCAGGTACTCACCGCCCATGAGTCGCCTAGACCAGACCAAACGTACTTGGTGGAAGCTACGTTGACCTCCGCGTCGGCTACCACTGTTGTGTTCTCATAGAGATCTGAGGTGGGGCCATCGAGAGGTGCTGCGATTGGTGTACTAGCCATGGAGGCTGTCAACAGAAGAAGTAATAGCCAATGCATTGTCGCGATGACTTAGGGTCTAATCGGATGGTTGTCCACGCGTCTTGTTGTACATCTAATGGCTTAGTCTAACAATAATAGCAGTCCAAAGTTCATTTAACACTTGGATTAGCGAGGGGTAAGTACTCGTCCGTAGCAAAAGTGTGGGTCAAGCTAACTGCGTTAGTGGAGTGAAAGAGTCCAGGCAACGACACCACCACTGTGCTTCGCCGCACGGATCAAGACTAGATGTCGAGCGGAGAACCACTCATGCTGGAAAGGTTGACATAGCATTAGATCCTCGACGATCGTCAAGTAACGCAAGACCATGAGGACGACAACAACATTACTCGACTACGTCCAGTGGATAAGAAAAACTCAACGACTACAAGATACATCATTCGCACTACATTACTTCCGTCATGACTAAATGTAGCCCCATGCAAAAGATACAAAATATGAGAGACGCGAGCCCTACTGCATCTCCTTCCCTTGCGCCTCACCAACCTGATCGAACGGTCCGAAAGGATGCTGCTTACGCTTGAATCCGATCTTCACGCGACCAACACGCTGCATCTTGTCTTCGAATTGGGTCCCCATCCGCAACACAGTCTCCCTGTACATAGTCGCGGTAGTCCAATCGTAAGAGCAGCCGATGATGCGCTTCATACCGCCTTCAGAGCCAGCCATGAGGAAGCACACGGGTGGACGCTCGGCGAGGAAAAGTGTTGCAGTCATGTTACCGGTGTCGACGAGAGTAAAGACGCGTTGTTCGCCTGGTCCAGCAGTCTTCGCTCGTTGTACGAGAGCTGCGACAGCAGGATCGGAAGTCGGATCAACGGGAACGCACTCGCCGTGAATATTGCGATGATGTCTTGACAATGGACTAGCTGCTGCCTATGGAGTGCGACGACGAGATTAGCGCGACGTCATCAACAGGACGAGAGCATACATACGGTCCACTTCATGCGCCCAAGCCTGCCACCGAAGATTTGGCTCTCGATCGTGTCCAGGTCCATGTAGCCTTCGAAGCCAAAGAACCAGCATTGCTGTTCCCAGAACTTGCCAAGGAAGAGAAGGCGTAGCAGCCATGGTGATAGGCCCATGACCACCAAGGAGTATAGTAGCAGGACGATGCCGATAGTGTTTGTGATTCCGGGAATAGCGACGAGTACGCATGCAGCGATGAAGATGATACCGCTGAGGCGAAGCATTCCCTTCGCGAGGAAGCGCTTCCAGGAATCACGCCGGGTGTGGGCGACAGGTGTAAAAGACTTCCACCGAACGTTCGCAGCCCGACAACCATCAAGGATGATGCTGTCGTCTTCTCCAACGCCGGCGATGCCGACATCTTGTGGCAGTATGTCCCAGAGCTTGGCGTTATACGCGTCGTCCATGGAATGCCAAGGCTGGTCTGGATGTTTGGGCAACATGCAGATCAGGCGTTCGAGAAGCTGATCGCTGCCGTTCGCAAGAGAGAGTCTGTGAGATGTGAGTGATGCGACAAGTGACTGCAGTTGAGGTGCGACATACCGTGCGAATGCCTGGAAAGCAGAGTCCGTGCGATCAATTTGTGGCCTGACACGGAGCAAACCCATCAATGCGTAGCTGTGATCTCCGGGAAGATGCTCGGTGGTGTCACGGTTATGCAAGCATTCGAGAGCAAGCGTGACCAGCTCGAGCTGGCTGAGAATCAAGTTCCCCTCGTAATGGTCGATGAGCTGCGGGGATGAGCTGTCATGTAACTGTTGGTGTTGGAGGCCAACTTACCTGTCGCGCGATGTGCGCATCATTCTGCCAAACCCTGGCAGCAAACTGGTTCTTTGGCACCTGAAGTGGCTGCGACAGATCGCTGTCGCGCACGTAGACGCAGATGTCTTTACCAGCGGGCGCCAAGAGGACTTCAGGGAACGTCCACACTCGGTAGCCCCATTGCTGAAGCATGAGATCAGGTGTGTTGATCTCATAGCGGTTGTTTACTGGAGGGCACACAGCGATTGCGAGAGATTGCGCGCCTCGGATAACGTCGCATATTCGGTAGACCTCCGAGAGTCGTTAGCGAAACTACAACCATGTTGACTGGGTTATGTGCTTACATCTTCCTCGAGCTGGTTGTCGGGCATGCAAGAGCACCCCACCCAATACGCAATAACGCCGGCATTGCGCGCCGCTACGTCAGCCATTTGATGTAAAACCCCCAAATCCTCGGGAGTGTTGAACTGCTCAGCTGTATACGCGATGAAGACGTACGAGAGATCGTGAGCATCATGTTGAGCCAGCCTGCAAACGTCAGAGATGAATTAGAGGTACGGCATCATTGACCTACCAATCGTCGACCTTGGTGATGATGGCCGGCCTTCCTGCCTCTCGCAAGAAGCAGAGATATCGAGGACGCAACACACGTTCGGCAACAGGATTGGCTTGGCTGGAAGCATGACCTTGGGGCCTGTGCATCTCGATCGCGTTCTTGGCGACCTTGGGATATCCGAAGTACTGGTATGGCAGGCCATCGTAGCTTCCACCGTTGCGAGACGCGATCTCAGCGGGGCTTGGACTGGAAATCTAGACGCGCCGTCAGTTGTGTGTTTAAAATGCGGATGAAATGGACTCACAAAGATCGTGATGAAGCAGGATGCGACGAACCACTTGAGACAAAGCATAGGAAGGTCTTCGTTAGGGATGTTGCCGCCATGGCGCGAGAAGTCGATGTGATTGAACGGCCAATTCGCCAATCGCATGTAGACAGGCGCGACGTTGCGGACGAAGGTCCGCCTGTAGGTAGATCCTGTGTTATTCTCGTAGATATCATCGACAGCTTGTACGACAAGCTTAGAGACCTTTCCGTCCCAAGATGAGATGTAGCGATCATCGTAGTCGCCAGTCCATTCGCGATCAAAGATGTCTCGATGTCGGTTCTGACCAAGCTTCTGGTACGCAAGACCAGGCTTGCGGTAGAAGTTGGGGCGCTCCCACTTTATTGTAGTCCACGGGGAGAAGATATGTGCGTATCCCTTGGGTGCTATCAATCCGTTGCGCTGGATGGCGTTAGAAGATCCCAGTACTTGGAATTCCAGCCCACATACCTCTATTACTGACTGTCCTAGACGCCTCTGGTTGGCCTCATGGTCGTCTTGGGAGGCAGGTGAATGTCCATATGGTGCAACTTCGCGGACGGAAGCCTGAGTGTCGTTGCCGATCATCTTCGCCATCACGTAAGTAATGCTAGGCAAAGCAAGCACACAGTCGATTTATGAAGCTTGACTGCTGGTTGGAATGCTGGGGCGGCAGTTGTTGATGCTGTTGATAGGGCTGGTTAGGATATCCAGCTGGTGCCTGTGCATCTATGAGAAAGGCATGGAGAACGGAGAAGCGGACACGTACTTGAGGCGCGAGCGTGGGGTGTGGGTGTGGGACTGGTTGGTGTTGCACGACAACTGCAGGCTTCAGAGGAGTATTGTTTGGGTCGTAACCACCTCCGTGATGCGGTTGCGTCTGATGAATGAGGTCAGGCGGGTATCATAAATCAACAGGACAGAAGCAAGGACGTACCGGATAAGATTGCTGATACGACGGTACTTGTACAAAGGTACCACTGCCGGGATCGAAGCCACCTCCGTGTCTTCCAGAGAGATTTGGAGGGTAAGCCTTGAGATGGTTAGCGGGTGATCGACGCGGAGGGCGGAGAGTCTTTGTACCATTCAACATCGGCTTGTGAAACTGAGCGGCGGTGATCTTGAATGTACACTTTGGAGACCTTGAGGCCGGCGATCGTGTGTAGTCTTATCTGGTTCAGGTCCGTTAATAGAATGTGGTCAGGTGGCACAAGGGTAAAGCGCCTGCCTGGACGCGCGCATTTCTGGAGTCATTGCTTTTGACTCTATCCTGGACTTCAGCTCAAATTTTACCTTTCTTGGATTGGCCATTCTCTCGCATTCGGACCCTCTAACTTCCACTTCACGATATCGTGGCGTTTGGGGTGGACCCTGTATGCAGGAGACATGTCCAAAAAGGGTCGAGGCCCTATCGATGCGGCCTTCAGTACCACACGGTGGTAACACGCCATGTGGATGTCAGTTATCGGACTGGACGTTGTCCATGTCTTGGATTTGTTGGTGCGGTGGGCGACCTCGGGGACTTTGCATTTCGCCTATCCTTGTCATCTGGTGTGGCTTGAAGCATCGTTCATGCGTATGTACGGTACGCGGGGCTTGCCGCCTCGTAGACGAGCGCCATGCAAACGGTGAATAGCATGAAGTTTGGAGTTGAAGCTGAGATCTGTAGGAGCATATACAGCCTACGCATCACGACAGACGTTCGCGAAACGAGTTTGTGTTCTTCGAAGGCATGCCTGCGCCTGGTAGGTGCGGCAGCGACATTCGCCGGGCGCAGAAATCCGAGTGATGCATCGTCCTTGGTGCGCCCGAGTACCAACGGGTCTTGCTGTAAATTGAACTTGACAGGTACCGCTTTTCGCATTCTCGCGTACAGTGCCATTTCGAGGGGCTCGGCTGTTTACCAGCTGCCATCTTGGCATCCTCAGCCTTGCGCCACCAATAGCGTAGCGCTGACGGCCTCTGCCGATAGGCTCGCTCGGACACTCCCTTCAGCTCTCGAAATTGCGTTTACCGCTTCGGACCAAAGCTGAGAAACGCCAAGTTCAGAACCGCTGGCCCGTGGCCGCATGCTTTCGTACATCACACCACGAGAGCGATGCTAAGCAGATTTTCACTTGACAGGGTGCGCGGCTACCGTATCCTCGAAATCCGTGGCGCCTGATTTGTCCGCATGATTGACCAGGGCTGATAAACGAGCAGTGCAATCGGACGGACGCCCTCGTGTTGGTGCTGTCAGTAAAGTACACATGCAACGTAGGCAAGTGCTGGAGTACTGAGAGCTCTCTGGAAGTCATAATATTCGCACTTTTACTGTCGCCTTTGACCGCAATGAAACCCATCAAGAGGACGACTTTGTGTCGGCGATTAAAT